GATGGTGGGGACTGTGATCATGATGAGGATGAACCAAGATGGGCTGACGCCCCAGCAGCGTGTTGACAAGATCTTCACAAAGATGGACAAGGACAAGGACGACCAGATCTCCCTGGAGGAGTTCAAGGAGGCAGCGAAGAGCGACCCCTCCATCGTCCTCCTCCTGCAGTGCGACATGCAGAAATAGAGCCCTGGGGGCTCATCACTGGACTGGCTGCAGCCAACTTCTGCTCCTCGTGATGGTTTCCATCCCCATTTTCTGCTGAGTTTCCCCTGTGCCCACTTGGCCCCAGGTGTGAGCCACGCTCCATCCCTCCCACCACCCATCCACCTCTGCTCCCGGCTGCATCCTGGGCAGCCCACAGTCCATGGGCGGCAGCTCTCTCTCAGTGGGTAGAGCCTTCTCTGGGTATTGCTGGCTTGAGGTTACCCCCAAATCAGCCCTCTCCCATCCTGGAGCTGGACTCCCTGCACCCAGTGGTGAGCATCCTGGCTCCCCCAGGGCCAACTGTTCCCATGTCCCTGCTGCTTTCTCCCTGCTTCCACCACTGCTCTGCCTGACCCATTCCCCCATCATAACTGAAAGCAGCTCTTTCTCCTTTCTGCTGATCCCTCCCTCAATGCTTGTGATGCTTCCAGGGAAGCTTGAAAAGTCCCAAGTCCTGGCCCTGGTCTCTCCTTCACTGGCAATTCCCTGCAAGGCTGCCTGGAGGGACCAGGGCTGGCCCCAGGGAGCTGGGGAGCTCGGGCAGGGTGCTGCACCCTCCCTGAGGTCTTGCTGCCTTGACTCCCTCTGCCCGGCTTTAGCTCTTCCACCTCTGCTTTTGCTGCTGGGAAAGGTCATGGTTGGCCAGGGGACTTTAGGGAGAGCAAAAGCGTCCAAGGCCACCCCTGGATGTAGCCAGTGCCTGATACCAGAAGCCACCTTCTACCCCATCACCAGTGTGAGCTGGCAGAGCAAGTGGGTGACCTCCACAACTGCCCCAGCTGCACCTTGGATGCTTTGTGGACTTTCTGGCCTTCCTGGGTATTGAGGTGATGCCTGGGGTCTCAAACTGAAGGCAGGGGCTGCCCAACTCTTCCACAGGGTGTCCTGGGGTGAGGTTGGGAGTGTGGGTGTTGAAGGCATCTCCTAGTGCTGCTCCTGGTGTGTGGTGCTACTGTGGGGGACCAGTGGGTCCTGGATTGGGGCTGTGGAGAGGTGTGGATGGGTCCTGTACCTGCTGAGCCTCCTGGCAAGGCTCTGAGGCCACAAGAAACATGTCTTCCTCCTTGCTCCCCCCATCCCAGCCTGCTGCCTCTGTCCATCCTGCCGTGGGGCAGGAATATTGTCCCAGATTGGTATTTAGTCTGCACGTTGTGGTGTTGATGACTGTAATATCTGTTAGGAGATGGTGAAGTTGTTATCTATTTTTTTAATGGAAAAATAAACTGTCCCCCATGTGTGGTGTTCCCCCTGCATGGCTTATTGGGGGGCAGCTGGCTGCTGCAGCTATGGGGAGAGTGAGATGACAACTCTGTACTCCTGAGCATCATTTATAGGTCTCATCTGAGGCTGTAACGCTCCAAGGGATGGAGAAACCCTTGGGGATGGTGCAGTGGCACTCAGCCTGGGAAGCCTTGAGGATGAGTGAAGGTGTAACTCTTCAGCCATGCAGGCAGCTTTGGGGAAGGAGATATCATCTCTTGGGGGGTGGGGGGGCAGATAGCACCAGACATCCCTGGGCTGTGCTGGAAATAGGTCTTTGTCAACCAGGAGCCTGGACCCTGGCTGTTCCCTTCATTTAGGGCTGGGCATAGCCAGAGGACCTGGTGGCTTTGTCCTGGGCCCCATCCCAGCATCATCAGCAACTGGGACCTGCTATCATTGTGTCTTTGTCCTTCTTCTCAGCCTCCTCTTCTCCACCCCCATCTTCCCTGCATGTATTTTCCTCTGGCCTTTCTTCTCCATCAGCAGCCTGCAGAGAACAGTGGCTGTTGCTAAGGAGCTCTCACCAACTTTAAATACTTCTCTGTAGTTAATCAAGCAGGGCTGGCTACCGGGCAGCAGCGCTGGCTCCCGGCTGCGAGCCCGGCTGTGCCATGCCACTCACCCCATCCTTCAGCAGGTAGGGAGGTGTGTGGCTCAGCTTCCACCCGGCAAATCCTCAGCATCTCATCTGTCCTGCAAGCTGCCAGCACCTGAGCACAGAGATGGGAGGATGCCGAAACCATGGCAGTGTTTGTGTGTTTTTAGGAGTGCTGCTGAGGGAGAGCTCTGTGCACCTTGTGCTGGGCTGCTGTGTTTACCCGGGCTGTCCTGGAGCATGCGTGTGTGTGTTTGCAGCTCAGTGGTGCCTGGGGAAGGAGGGACAGGGCAGGTTGTCCCCACTGTGTGGGAGCCTGGGGACATGCTGGGGTGCTGGCTGAAAGGGCAGAAACTCAAGGGCAAGAGGGGACACTGAGAAAAGCCTCGGTGATCCCAGGGCCCTTGCAGCATCAGCTTCCCTTTGGGCCAGCCCAAAGGAAGCTCGGGTATTTCCCAGGGGGAATCTGCAAAAGCCCTGGGGAAATGGGATCTTTGATGAGGCTGGAATGCTGTTAAACTCCCAAAAGGACATCCCAAAGGGTTTGGGATCCAGGCAGCTGGGTGAGCCCTGGAGCCAGCACCGTTCACCAGCACCCAGCTTCCCCCCGGCTCTGCTCTCCTGGTTGAACCTCAGAGCAAGCAAGGTTGTGTTTGGTCAGCCCTGGGGACAGGGACGTGGGTGTCCTGGAGCCAGGGGTCAGTAGGGAGCTTTGCTGTTCAGCCACTGGCGCAGAGCTTTGGGCAAAGCCCTTCTGCTGGCCTCAGCGCTGGGGTTCTGTGCCTCCTCCCAAGCACTGCCCTGAGCCAGGTGAGGTGAGGGGGGATCCTCCATCACTTGGCCCTTCCCGGCTGCTGGGGTTTGGTCTCTGGGGTTCCCTGCTCCCTGGGGGTCCCTGGGCTGTGGGGATCTGCTGGTCATGGCGCAGGTTTCGGCTGAAAGCTGGGCTCTATGCACAGCTCTGGCTGGACTCAATCCCACCAGCACTCGTGGGAGGACGTTGAGTGAAGAGCCTTAATTAAAATATCCACGCTGGCTCCGTTAACCAGCCCACAGCGCAGGTTACCCTGGGGTGCCGGCGTGCCTGTCACCCACCATGGCCGCTCCTTCCCCTCCAGCTCCGTGTGCTGGCCACCCTTGTGCCCTTCCAGCCACCCAGTCCCTGGCTTCGGTGCCGCCCTGTGCTCTGCAAGGACGGGC